AAAATAAGCAGCTTTTCCCTTAGGGTTTTGTAGTGTACCAGCTACACAGATAGGCTGATTGAAGGGGGAATAGGAGCCCACGTGGGCAGCCCTGTGTTCACATTTCTGCCTGTTTGCGTCATAGGGGAGTCCATGCAGTGAGGGGTGAGCAGTGCCTGACCTTGGGAGCAGGTCACTCGAAGAACCAGCCTTGCACAGTGTGGTGCTTCGGGCCTGGGTCATGCAGGAAGTTCACCTGCCCTTACAAGTGACAGGGAATGCTCCTGAGCCTTCTGCTTGAGTGACAAGGGACAGACCTGGCACTCTTGCAGGCAGTCATTGCTTGGGCCAATGCTTATGGTTCCTGGCCACCGAGGTCCCCAGTCATGTCCTCAGTGGCTCTTGTGCTTTGTAGGGAGTTGGTGAGGGAACTCCTTTCTGCTTCTCAGAATCCTGTTTGGACTGTGGATCCAGACACCCTTGTGAGTTGTGAATGAAAAGGAACTAGTGTCGAGACTATTAGGTTGCATATGTTATTGTAAATACCATATGCATATGCAACCTAATAGTTTTTCGTGAGGCCTGAAATTACACACATGTGTAAATACACATATATGTACATGTCAGTCTGTGAAGGATCATCAAGTGATATTTATTTCTTATGAGGGACCAGGGTCCCAAGAGTTTGAGAAATACTATCCTAGAAGGACTTCTGTGTTCTTGGCGTGGCCAGGGGTTCCTGTTGCAGCCTGGCAGGCCGTGTCTGTTGAGAGCCATGCGGTGAGAGGGCTTTGTTCAAGAGCAACCGGAGTCAGGCCCTGCCACCATGATCTTGGCCTTACCCGTGGCTGTGCGCTCTGTCCGCTGCTTCCTGCTGTAGAGGAGCTGGCAGGTCTGCCAGGAAAAGCTCCCCCAGAGGTTAGCAGCACATCCCCTTCTCCCCTGGTCACCAGGCTGAGTGTCCCCAGCATGCAGATGCTCCGCCCCTACGTCCTTCTCTTGGCTTTGGTGGCTATTCATTTGCTCGTGGACAATTTTCTATTTTAGTGGCAAATCTTCCCTGCATACCAGGGCCAGGGCAGAGAGCAGAGGGCTGTCCTTGTTGTGTTTCTCAAGGTCATTGGGTGGGGGGGATTAGAGGTCAGACTGCTTGGGGCAGGGTGGGGGATAAGGGGGTACTCTTGTTTGTGGCTTCCCAGTGGTTTCACTACATATGTGATTCTCTGGCCGCAGCTTCTCCCAAAGGAGAGGAGCCTTTCCCAGTCCGTAGCTGCTGCTTCCTCTAGTGGCACCATCCGGCTTGCGGAGTGCTGACCCACTTGCCCTCCCTCAAATAGAGGCTTAAATTAGGACCTTTAATCTGTAAGAGGCTTATGGCATGTTGGGTGGCCAGCTGCTCTGGGCTCCCGTGTGGGCAAGGTAGGGCCTGCCTAGCGGTTGTGGGATTTGAGGGAATGTTGGGAGCCGCTGGGTTTGCAGCAGGAGGCAGGGTCTGCCAGGACAGGGTGAGATGGTGGCGTGTCCTTGTCGGGGGTGCCCAGAGTGCAGCAGGCCTTGGGGGCTGAGCCTGGAGCTGTGTCCTTGGTGCTGCAGCATCGGCTCTGCTGGCTCAGCAGGCGTTTTTGCTCTATCACTGTTTGTCCATCAGTGCTGAGTGCCCAGTGTGGTGCTGGGTGCCTCTTCTGCCACAAAATCCCCAAGGCTGTGTGCTGTCCTGCTCCATCAGCTGTGGAGGTCACGGGACAGCTCTCTCTTGGGCTGGCCTCTGGGTCAGCCGTGGCTGACAGTGTCCTGATGGCAGCACTTGTGTGAGGAAACAGTGTCATGGTGAGACCGGAGGCCAGACCAGGGAGGAGCCAGGCCTGCTTGTTCCTGAAAACTGTTATTTGGAGAACTGACCAGGAGCCCAGGAGAGCTGCAGTGACCTCACCACTCGGCCCAACCTCTCGAAGCCCCACCACCTGTTAACCTGGCCACACCGGGGACTGGGCTTCCAAAACGTGCATCTAGGGCAGACACAGCGTGTTTTTGTCAAGGGAAGCCCACGGAGCCCTGGGCTCCAGACCCTGCTGCATGGTGCTCATCGTCCTTCTGAGGAAAGAAGGCCATGACACAGCAGAGGAGCTGTCTGTCCAACATACCCTTGACTGGGAGCTGTTCAGAGTGGCAGATTGTGAAGTTTCAACCTGGTGGGCAGCATGAGGACATGCTTGGTGCTAGAGGCCTGAAAAGCAGAGCTGATGGTGGCACAGCGATGGGAGAGGGGTGGATGTGACATGGAGGGGAGGACAGAGGAATGGCCTGGCCTGGGGGTGGGTGCCTCTGGAGCCTGTGTCTCCTCTGCTTCCTGGTTCTGTCCTGGAGCCTCTCCATGATTGGTGCAGAAGCACCTCTTCAGTTTTCTTCCTTCTCCTCCTCTTTGCCCTGACTTGAGTGAGCGCCGACCTCACGCACCCTCCTGCATGCCTTACAGGGCCAGTCTCATACTCCCCTCCCCACAGCCCTCCTGTGTGGGTGTTCCATGTTACTGTGTGTACTGTCGAGTCGGTGAGGCGGGGCCCAGAGAGGCCATGGGGACAGAACAAGGAAGTGGTGGGCTCAAGAGTTTGCCCAGGGCGACTGAAGGCAGAACCCCATGAAAGCAGCAGCCCACGCTCTGCACTGCTGCCTCTCTCTCTGCCTCCTGAACATGTCTGAACATCAGAAGCCCCCCCCCGGGGAGCTTTTCCAGGCGGGTGAGGCCTGGGGGAGGGACTGAGGCATCAGAATTGTTTCAGGCTTTCAGGTGGCTCCAGCGGGCTGCCAGGCTGAGCTCAGTGCTCTGTCTCCTGACTGCTGAGGATCAGAATCTGTTTTTATCTTCAGGATTACGGAGAGTATCATGCAGAGAGTGGTACCCATGGCACCGTAGTGAGTCTGAGCGAGCAAGACCCATCACCTAACAGCATTGCGGCTCCCAGGCAGTGATACCCCGGGGCATGGCATGGGCCACTGGAGGGATGTTGGCCCTGATCAATGACCCCTTTTGGCGCTGAGGGCCACTTGGGGTGCAGCGCCTACATCCAGCACCCCAGAGACCTCCAACTGTGGTTTCTCATGTCCGTGCTCCCCCCTGGGCCCCATTCCTCAGCAGGGAAAGGCAAGGGTCACACGAGGGCAGACCTCTTCTCAACAAGTCCTGTTCCTCTCCATCTGTCCCCGGCTGAACCTGAAATGGACACGAAGAGCAGAGTCGTTTGGGTGGCTGGGAACAGCACTAAATTTAGCAAAACTGAAGCTAGCGGGGGGCCGGCCTGGACCGAGCCAGATCCAGTCCCAAGTGGACTAGATTTATAGTCAGCAGCACAGTCAGCGTCGTTTCTGCTCGGGCAGGACTGTGGCTGTGAAAGATCTTTCTGGTCTTAAAGCCTGTCCTGCAAGCCTGCCGAACTCTGCCCCTCTGTGGCCTGACTCCGCCCCACCATGCGTGCTGCCTGTCTGGTTGAATCCTACCTATCAACCTTCCTCCAACTCCTCCTTTATAAGGCTAGGGCTGATGCAGGTGGGCTGTCTCACTTCAGTATCTTCACTGTGGCCTGAGTGTTCTGGCATGTCCCTTGGTCTTGGTTGCCAACCTGGGCTCTCCTAGGATCCTGGAGGGCAAGATCTGAACTTAGGCAGCCTCTCTCAGGGTCATCTGGCATCAGAGCCCCTCTGTTACAAGGTGGATGAGCCAAGGGAGAGAAGAGTTGGGCTGGGCCAGACCTTGCCACCCATCAGAAATTCAGCTGGACTGGTGTTGTGTGCATGCCCAGCCCCCAAAGTGAATGACCACGGTGGTGGAGTGCTGTGCCCCTCTCGGACAGTTGCGAACTACTTTCTGACCAATTCAGTCTGTGCCCTGATGTGGCATGGGTGCTCAGGAGTGGAGGTTGGAATCTGAAACTTACAGAGCATTCCCCCCTGGGCCCCCTTCCTCCTGCTCCTCACATCTGCTGGTTGATTTTCTACAAGAGGTTTGTTTTTGTTAATACTCTTGGATTTTGACTAGCTAAATTTCCCCAACTCTTCCCCCGAATGGAGGATTGTACAGCATAGCCAGGGCTGGGATCATGTCTGTGTGATGTGACTTGTCAGTTTAAGGTGATCTCTTTCAACCAGGAGCAGTTTTGCACTCCCTACCTCAGCTTCCCTGTCTCTGTATCTGAAAATGCGTTGTTGCATGTCTGGGATGCAGTGGGTAGAGGACATACAGTGCTCAGTGTGCCACAGTGTGCACATGGCCTTTCCTACAGCGGGCGGTTGTGCAGAAGCTGAGCAGCCGGGCTGCATGGAGACCGGTTTTGTAAATGATCCAGAGGTGATCTTGTCCGGCTCGGTGTTTGTGTAGGAAATGACCTGAAACCAGAAGCTGTCTAGCTGTTGCCTCCCTGTGCCCACCCTTGGCATCCATGGGAACTTCAGTGGCAGAGTCCTTCGACATCTTTTCCCTGAGGTTCCTGTGGTGTTGTTTGCTGCAGAAGACACAGATATGTTCCTGGTGAGGTCTGAAAGTACCTTGGTGCCGCCTATCTTTGTTGCACCTGCTGAGCTTGGGAAAATGGCTTGTTTGGGTGCTAATACCTTAAAGATGGGTTTCAAGGACACCAGGGAAGGAAGCCATTCCAAGCATGCATCACCTAGGAATGATCGGAATCTAGTCTGGAGCTGTTTTCTCTCCCCGCTTCCCCAGCTGAGTGTTTGCTGTGCCTTACAGAACTGAGTTCTGCTTACTAAATTCTCTTATATGCAGGAAGCACGTACTCCCTGCCCTGGAGGACATGTTGTGGCTTCCCAGGAAAGATCCAACCTGTTGCCATACAGTGCAGCAGCCCAGCAGCTCATGTCTTTGGCACTGTCCTCCTGCAACTGGCAAGGCTGCCTTACTTGGGGCAGGACAGGGGCAATAGCAGCCTCCCCAAGTGAGGACCCCTGCCTGTTCTGCACAGTGAAAGGAGGGTAGCTGTGTATGGATTCTAGAATGTGCTGATTTTGCATTTCAGGACACATTCAAGGGTCTCTGTGTGTGACCTTACTACCTGGAATCTTTGTGATGTCAACAATGGCACATGGTGACTCAAGGCAGATGGCATAATGGGAGTGGTAGAGGAGGTGATGGACAGAACAGAAGACCAGGTAAGGCCAAGCCACCTTTGTTCTCTCCTCTGGTTTGCTTCTTGTTATTGTTCTCCTGAGTCTGATGGCCTCTTTCAGTTTCCCTGTGTCTGAGTGAGGCAGATGTATTTTTGGATAAACCCAAACCAAACAGTCAGGTGATTCTGCTTAAAAGATGCAAAGAACATCTTGCACATGACATTGGGGTTGACTGTTTTTCTGGAAGCCATGGGTTACCTGTCAGATCCCTTTGTGGTTCCTGGAGTTCAAGCTCCCTTTACCTTTCTCAGGCAGGGGGCTGAGATGATGCCTTGGTTCGGGAACTGGGTTCTAGGTGCCCACTCTCTTGGCCAGCATGTGTTGTTCTATGATGGTAAATATTGGAATGGATGCAGGAGATGAGGCTGTCTGTATTTAGAAACCCACACCCAAGAGAGAACAAACCCGCGTTGAACCCAGCTGGCTCATCCTTGTTGTAGGACAGAACACACCCAAGGTTACATCCTCTTGTTCTGTGGCTGGCTGAAGTCACTTCCTTGTGTACCCAAGGCTGCCCACACCCAGCTGCTATTTCCTGCACTGGGGCAGGAAGTGCCAGTCACTCAGCTCCTCGTCTCTAGGTCGTGTGTCCTCATCCCTTGCTGTTCTGGATTCTTATGCTTGGCTCTCGCATGTCCCTGAAGTGTACCACTTACACACCTGAGCTTAGTTTGGGTGCTCAGCCTCTGCTGGGATTTTCCACTTCCACATGAGATCCGTGGTGGCTAATACTGATTTGTGACAGTGTCATCTTATTGGCCATCTTGGTTTTAACTCCTTTTTACCTTTGGCCCCCAGCACTTTTTTCTCATTAAAAGTCTGATTTCTCATAGAGATCACTCCATACATCAACATGCATTCATACAACTCATGTATTTTCCAACTTGGTCTCATAGAACATGAAGTTGAACAAATGAATGTAAAGTTTTGAAAACACTTGTATTTTCGGTAGTATTGAATTTTGTAGGGTGATGTCTCTGCTTTTGTTTAAATGTGGTAGAGGGCCTGACACAGTAGCCTAGTGGCTAAAATCCTTGCCTTGCACACTCCAGCATCTCATTTGGGCACCAGTCTGTCCCAGCCACTCTGATTCCTGTCCACCTCCCTGCTTGTGACCTGAGAAAGCAGTTGAGGATGGCCCAAGGCCTTGGAACCCTGCACCCATATGAGAGACCTGGAAGAAGCTCCTGGCTCCTGGCTTTGGATTGGCTTAGCTTCAGCCATCACAGCCACTTGGGGAGCGAACAGCGGGTGGGAGATCTTCCTCTCTGTCTCTCCTTCTCTCTAAATCTGCTTTCCCAATAAAAATGTCTTAATGAAACAAAAAAGAGAGAGAAGAAGATTCTGTAAGCAGGATGAACATGCCCGGAGATCTGTTGGTGCGAGGGCAACAACTGTTTGGATAAAAGCTTCTTCTGTTTTTCATTCTTATTTAGCAGGCAGAGTGAAGTCAGAGTGAAAGAGTTTTACATCTGCAGGTTCAGTTTCCCAGGCTGCATTATCCAGGGCTAGTTCAGGCTGTTGCCAGGAGTCCAGAACTCCATCCAGGACTCCCGTGGGGATGGCCAGAGCCCAACTATTTGGAACATCTGCTGCTGCCTTTCCAGTTGCATTGGCGAGAGGCTGGATCCTAAGTGGAGCAGTTGGAGCTCAAACTGGCGCACCTCTGCAGTATGCCAGCCAACCCATGGCTTAATTCACTGTGCTGTAATGCCGACCCCTCATTAACCTTTTTTAAAGTAATATTTTTATGGACACGTGCATATGGCAAAATGAGCAAGTCATAAACTTTCAGTACCAAGTGTGCACAGCCCATAACTAACATCCAGACCAGGCCAACAAACAGTAGAGCATCACCAGTCCTGCCGGAAGATGCTCACAAGTTTTCCTTGTTACTGACCGCCTTTCCAAGAGTGACCCCTCTGCTGATAATGTCCCAGCTTTGTTTTGCTTGTTCTTCACAATGTACCAGTGGATCCACGCAGTTCTCTTCTGTGGTCTGCCTTCAGTCACTTATGTTGCTAATGACATTCATCATGTGTGCTGTTGTAGGTTTCCATTCTCGCAGCTGTATCAGATTCCGTCTTTTGCTGGACCACAGTTTCTTATCTGTTGTACTCATGGGGTATTTGTTTTCTGTACAGACTTTGGCTGTTAGAAACAGTGCTGATATAGGTATGCATCTGTGAACATACATACATGTGTATAAACACACATGTACCTTTACATGTGTAATTGTTGGGCATAAACTCAGGAGTGGAATTGTTGGATTGTGGTTTTAAAAACACCAGATCACAGGCCCAGCGCAGTAGCTCTGCAGCTAAAGTCCTCCTTGTCTTACATATGCCATATGGATGTTGGTTCTAATCCTGGTAGCCCTGCTTCCCATCCAGCTCCCTGCCTGGGGCCTGGGAAAATAGTTGAAGAAGACCCAAAGCTTTGGGACCCTGTACCTGTGTGGGAGATCTGGAAGACGTTCCAGGCTCCTGGCTTTGGATTGACTCAGCGCCAGCCATTGCGGCTGCCTGGGGAGTGAATCAGTGGGTGGAAGATCTTCCTGTCTCTCCTCTCTGTATATCTGACTTTGCAATAAAAAGAAATAAATCTTAAGAAAAACCACACCAAACCACTTATACCAGTTATATTCCTACTAGCAAAGTAAGAGAGTTCTGGTTGCTCCATGTCTTGGCCAGTATCTGACTTTATCTTTCTTTTTTCTTGTTTTGGTGGGTGCTTGGTCATACTGTGCTTTGATATGAGTATGCATTTTAATGATACTGGCATTTGGGTTTCTTGAGAAGTGCCTATTTAAGTCTTTTCTTCATTTTTCTGTTGGATTCCCTATGTATGTTTTTGGATGTACTGAATACTTCAAAAAAATTCATGGAAAGTGAAATTTGAAAGGTTTATTTTGGCACAAAAATGTTGAAGTCCATATATAGCTCTTTATCCCCTTTATGAATAGGTCATAGAATTTTTTTGTATCAAAACAGACTTCTTTGAGTCTATGTTCCATGAACTTTTTGAAGTGCTGCTGTAATCTCTCCCTTCGGTAGCTTTTGGAATCCATACCTTTGGTGATATCCCTTGGGTTAAGCCTTGTGAGTGCACTGCATTGTGGAGAGTGCTTTGTAGAGGGACCGCCTGTTCTTTGCTAGTTGTGTTGAGGTGGAGACTGCGTGCTTTCAGTGCTTGTCCACAAAGGCACTCTTGGGATCTTGGGTGGGGCAGGGACTCATCAAGTTCTTGGCATATTAAGTGCTGCTGGTGCCTTTGGGATCACATCAAAACTATTGTTAATATCCTAGGGTTTATTATGTGCCATGTAGTTTTCTAGGCATTTCACATGGGCTAACTCATTTATTCCTCCAGCGAGCTTATTAGTTAAGTACTATTTCTTCGCCTCATTTTCTTTTTCTTTCTTCTTTTTTAAAGATTTAGTTATTTATTTGAAAGGCAGAGTCATGGAGAGGGAAAGACAGGAAGAGGAAGATCTTCTGTCCGTTGATTCACTCCCCAAATAGCCACAATAGCTGGAGCTGGGCTTGTCCAAAATCAGAAGCTAGGAGCTTTGTCTAGGTCTCCCATGTGGGTGCAGGGACTTGAGGACTTGGCTCATCTTTCTCTGCTTTGCCAGGCACATTAGCAGGGAGCTGGATTGGAAGTAGAGCAGCTGGGACCTGAACCAGTACTCATATTGGATGCTGGTGCCACAGGCAGAGCTTTATCTACAGTGCTGGCGCTACCCCTTATTTTTAAGTGAGGAAACTTAGACCAGCAGAAGTTCCCTAATGGTGTTGGGCCACACAACCAAGAGTCTGTCTAGTGGAACCTATGTTCTCAGTCACTGTATATGTAGAATATCGCATTCTCCAAAATGGCCCAGTCAGTTCCTGCTGAGTGAGGGAGCTTGACATGGTAGGTTAGATAAAGTCTACATTGAAAAGGGAAGATTGTCTGGCAATGGCAGATTTTGGTAGGGAAAATAGTTGTAAACCAACCTGATGTATTTTTGCCTATAGTTGCATGTGTTGCTGATTAGTCATCATGGCGAACATTTGTGGATTGAATGGATCCACAAATTGTGGATCCACAGATTGTGAATCCTGCCTCACAGTTGAGGTGAACTCAGAGGGCACTGGAGGGACCGAGACCCTGGCAGGCACCTCAGTGGCAGCCATGATGATGGCCCAGGTAGAATTCAAAGTGTGGCCAGCAGCATCCAGTTGTATAGCCCCAAGGCAGCCCTGCTCATGGTAGCGGAACAGAGTCTGATGTCAGCAGGCGAGGTGTCCCAGTTATAGGCAGCCAGGTCAGGAGAGGTCTCAGCAGGAGTGCAGGGCTGGCAGGATTCAAGGTCAGGTAATCCAGAGTCACAAGGTTGCAAGCAGTAACAGTTCAGGCTGGCTGGAAACAGAAGCCAGGGAGCCCTTGGAGGGAGCCAGTTCCCTGGGGCTGGGTTCCCCTCCTGAATGAGGCCTTTCTTTTCAGGCTGTTCCCAGTGCCTGGGAGGAATACACCAGACCTCATGCGGGGTGGGGTGGGGTGAATTGGAGACTTACCCAATGCTGCCAGTGGAGCCAGAAAGAGCCTTGAGCCTTTGCGAACGTCTTGCCAGACTCTTCATTTGATGGGTGAGGAAATTAAAGTTTAAGTGAGAGGTTGTTGAGCGAGTGGGAGAGCCAGCAGTGAAGCTGGACATGGTATAATTTTTCTCCACTTCTTGTGTCAAGTAAGGTGAGGTGTGTTGGGAAGAGCGGGATTGGGAAGTAGGAAGCTCTGTAGTGCAGACCGAGAGCACCTGGGTAGAGCAGGGACAGGGGAGATTGGCTCTGGCACAAGCCTGCAGAACAGCTGGGCTGGGTTCAGGAACAGCTAAGCAGCTGCTCAGGTGACTGCCTGCAGCAAGCTTATTTGTATTAAAGCATAGAAAAAATTGATTGGAGAACAAGGTCTTGGCATTTAAAAAAAATATGTTACATACACCTGACATGAATGTCGCTGACTTGGTCCCTGTGAAGTGTTCAGCTGAGTTGTATTGAGTACCCTTATTGTGGGCTGCAGCCTTCACCCTCCTCTTCCCCAAGGACTCTTCCTGTGTGCAGGGCTGACCATCTGCACCCATTAACCCACAATTCTTTTTCCCCTCAACCCCCAGCCCTTGGCCACCATCCTCTCCTTTCTACCCTTGATTGCTTTTTATTTATTTTTTCTTTTTTTGTGGTTAGCAGTGTTGTATACACGGCACCTGCTGTTAAAGCTGTCTTGGTGGTGAGTTAAAATCTGCCGTGTGTAGACAAGTTCATGGGGCAATAGGAACGTATTTTAGTGTTTATGTTTTTGCGACTGGCTTATTTCACTTAGCGTGCTGTCCTTGGGCCCTACACCCAATTGGTGTGTGTCCAGATTTTCTTCCTTTTTAAGTTAAGGCTGAATTCCATTGGATGGCTACAACCCGGTATACTTATCCATTCATTCCATTGCCAGACCCTCAGGGTTAGAACTTCAG